ATGTTAATAACTAGTCTCCGGAAGTCCATTTCGTTTCGAAGATCTGAATTCTGAGAGGAAAAAAGTGAGCTCGGAAAGCTCCGAAATAAGGAAAAAATTCGATATAAAATAGTCCCTTTTCAAGGGGTGTGACAGGTTGAAGTCGGGAAGGCAAATGAGGTGTATTGTTCTCTCCGTAGAGCCGTGTACAATTTGTACTGACTCCGGACCTGTCACCACCTCATTTGCCTTCCTACTGGTACCTATGTATGTAGTATGTACGAAGTATCAACTAGATTAGAGGTACCAGGTACGTTAATGGGTGATTCCCGCAAACATATTAATATGTAAAAATGAGACCGGCCGGCTCGAAAAAATATGTAAATTACATATTTTTTATTTGGAATCCTTGACTTAACCATATCCAGTCTCGTTTAGTGAAAATCCCAAAGTTCCTGCCACTTTGGAATTTTTTCAAATTGCATGCAATTTATACAGGATTCCAAATTCCGAAAATGGGGGGAAAATATGTAAGTTGAGCTGGAAATCTGTGTCTTCTGTACCACTGAAACGTATTCCCGAAAACATATCTCGAAATATGTTTGCGGGAATCACCCAATGTGGAGATGAATTATGACCCCTGGACCACGGCAAGTGTCATAATTTATCCCCTTCCTGCAGTAGTACGTTATGTTGTTTGAAACTACGTACGTTACTGTAGTGCGTGTCGAGGGGAGAAAGATTACGGTTTCAGAAATCTATGGAGGTACCGTAGGTTATGAGCCAAAGATAAAATCTTTTTCTTAGATTGCGAGTACGTACTGGTAATCGTACCTGTCCCAGTACGTGCCGTTCGCAGGGTGCAAGTAGGTACTCCATGCCATGCCACTGTGTACTAATCCCTACCAAGCACTACGTACGTAATTTTGTACGATAGTATGGTTCTAAAATGAATCCGAAAATCATCATCGTTTTTCTGGCGCGTATCCTAAACCTTAGAGGTGATAATATTTTAACATCGTCGTTCCATTAATTTTGCCACAACGTCGCCAAGAAAAAAAAGGTTGCAATTGAAATCATAAATCAGATTGAAATTACTGTGCAAAAAGCGTTTAAAGTGCTGTTAGTACAAGTAAATCGAACGTAAGAGAAGTACCGGTCAACAAATAGTACAAACCTTACGAGAGCTCAATCAACAGACATCTGGTAGTTTATTCTACTTTCATTCCACATGCGAAGTGTTGGTAAGTAATCTACTGATGTAACGTTTCGTAGAGTAGTCTACGAAATGGTGATCTACATTCTGATGACATTGTTGATGTTTGGGTCTACATTCGACCAAGTGGTAACATGAAGGGCGACACACGAAGAGGTCGAGGCGGGGGGACGCAAAATGACCCTCGGAGCTCCGTCGTGCCCGTCATTGGGCGAAGCGGCGTGTCGGTGTGTCGTCGTGAAATGGAAACGGGTCGTTGTTCCTCGTGCTTTGATGCACGGTGGTGTAGACCAATTAGTTATCATTTGTAGAGGAGGGCGGTCCATTAACTCGTCTCATCTTGCTGTTCAACCGCAGCAAGGACACAGCCTGCGCCGTTCGATCGCTCATATTCGCCGTTGTTTTTTTTTCGCGCTGAAAGAGTAAAAAAATTTCACCAAAACAGAAAGAGTAGCGTTTCAATTGCTATTCAAAACAATACAGGCACAAACAAACGATCAAACAAAAAGAAACTTGCAAAATGGGCAAAAAAGCAGGTCGAGATCCCGGCGCTCCAAAGCGCAATATGAGTGCGTATCTTCTGTATCAAAATGCCATGCGCGAAGACTTTAAGTCTATCAATCCCGGCATGACATTCGGTCAGCTGGCCAAGTACACATCCGCTATGTATTCGGAGCTTCCTCCCGCCGAAAAGGAAACCTGGGTGCAACGGGCAGAAGCTGACAAGGCTCGTTACTTGCACGAGCTTGCGAACTATGTGGCTCCACCTGGATACGATCCCAAGGGGGATGCAATTGTTTCCACTCTTCAAAAGACCGGTCGCAAGGGCAAACGTAAGTTTCTTCTCAAGCTCGGCAACTAGATGGAAAATATTGGTTCTTTATCTCCTCATCTCATTCTTTGTATCAATTTGCCGTGTGCTAACTATCTTGGATTGCTTCTCTCTGCTAAATACCGATGCAGCTGGTAAGTTTTTACTTGTTGATACTTGTTGAAAGCTAAAGCACAAATTATATTAACTTCAATTGATTGTGCTCCGATGTGATAAATTAATTTCAATTGGATATTTCAATGAATCTCAACTCTCTCTCAAAAATTATCATCTCATAAAATGTATAGAAAAAGATCCCAACGCTCCGAAGAGGAACATGAGTGCTTATTTGCTTTATCAAAATGCGATGCGGGAACAATTCAAGCGCGAAAATCCGGGCATGACTTTTGGGCAACTCGCCAAGTACACCTCCCACATGTACAAGAATCTAACTCCTGATGAAAAAGCCACCTGGGAATCGAGGGCAGCCCAAGACAAGGCTCGATACGATGCTGAAATCGCTGCGTATCAGCCTCCACCAGGACACGATGCTCGTGGTGTCTTGATTGAGGAACATCGCCCGCGCAAACGCAGCAAACGTGGTCCCAGGGATCCTGCTGCGCCAAAACGTGCTTCTGGTGCTTACGTCTTTTTTACGAACTACATGCGTCCTAAGGTGAACGAAGAATTTCCAGGAATCAAGTTTGTGGAACTTGGAAAGCTGTTGGGAGAGCGTTGGCGAGCGTTGACTCCCGTGCAAAAGAAGGAGTACGAAGACATGGCCGCGGAAGACAAGGTCCGCTTCCAGATCGAAATGCAGCAGTACACCGCAAACCAAGCTGCAGCAGCTCCGCCATCTCAAGAAGCAGCTTCTTCTACGGAAGCAGTTTCACAAGAACATGGCACATCTTCGTACTACGACCCAACTGTGGGTCATAACGCGCTCGCTGGACACGAGTATAACGCCCACCACGCCCAGTCTTATCATCATGATCCCTACCAACAACAGTACCATGCTGCCTGAGCATCTGTTATTTGTTGTCTGTATGCGTATCGAGGGCTAAGTTGGTCGTGACACAAAAGGGAAACATTGCAAGGACACGCATACACACAAACGAAGGAGGGAACGATCAAAGCACACTTTACATAGGTTGATCAGTATTACAGTAACACATAACTATTATTAACAAAAGTATTATGAATGTCGGAACAAAATTTAATTTTCATTTTTGTTTCGTCGACCTCAAGTTAGGGTAAATCCGAGGCGAACAGATTACGTGACATCGCGAACAGCTTTCTTGTTTCTTATCCTCCCTGGTACTGTATCAGCACCGCGTCTCCAGAGATTTCTTAACATTGTTGATCATTAGCAGTATTTTCACTGTGATCATGAGCATTTTGATCACGGTTGGGGTGGTTCAAACACGCGAAAGGTTCATTTACCTTCCACATGTAGAACATTTATTGAATTACGACTATTGAAGTGCAACTGTGCGATCAAGAATGGAGTGAAGCACGAAGGACTTGTCAATTGCAACTGCAAGCTCGGGAATGAAACGAAGTACGGAATAGGACGAAGTTATGTGGGATGCGTGTGACAGTATTCCTTCGGTACGGTACTTGATATCCATTGATTGAGATGTTTGAAATGCGTACGAGGAGATTCATTTACGTTCCAGCAGTAACACTATGAACTAATGAAAATCACCTAATGGAATGCAATTACAAAGATTCTTTTCCATTCCGGCTGCAGTATTTGCACAATTGCGGCCAGTGGAATCCAACTGTACGATCAGTTGTGCAACGGATGGAATGGAAATAGCGCTCTGTGATTGATGGAAGCACGAGCAGGCTACAATTGTGTGGTCCTTGTCTTTTTACATGCTCATTTATAGTACACATCAGCTTGAATTAGTGGCTGGCCCGGCACTAGTGAGAATGCCGCCGACTACTGCCACATTTTTTTGAAAAGTTGTTCTTGCATTTTCAAAAACGGATAGAATTGCATGGTCCATCAGTGGGAGGACTATCGTAGGCCTAAGCGAAAAACGCGTGCCCTGTTGCCATTCCTAACTATTCTCGAAACATCCTCATTTCTTTACTCCAAACCAAGGAAGTTCTTTTCTCTGCTGGAAACATTTTTGTTCGGCGATAACAGATGGTTGTGAGACGATTTCCTTAGTCGTGCGAACAGAGAACAGTTCTTCTTTTTGAAGCAATTAATTGCGAACCACAATTTTGTTTCCTGGAAGCAGCTGCTTTACATTTTGGACGATTTGGGTGGTTGTTGATGGCTTTTGAAGAATGAGCAGCTGCTGGAAGTAGTGTCTTTCAAAACGCGACGTCATGAAATTCCATCCCGGGCAATGACGGGCTTAAGGGATTTTACAGAACATTCTAGAAAAAACTTCAGGAGGTCATCTAATGCCGATTATTAGTGAGAATAAATTAGAATATGGTTGGGTTTGATTGCCTCACTCGAGGAGGAATCTATTCCATGTTTTCCTGGTAGTGATAGTGCGGAAGGCTTTTCGTAAGAAAACACAAAACAAAAACCCTCCAATCAGGAAAATAAACGGAAGACACACTACGAAACAGTTCATCATCATTAAACATCAACCTCGCCCGCCATCGATCACCGTCATTTTGCGGTGTCATTTATCTGCGGTACGGTACAAACTTTCAGCATTGCACTTACAAAAATTTACTTGACTTCAATTCCAAAGAACTCATTATAACAGTAAACTACTGTTATTTGGAAGGCGCAAGCATTATCATCAAGGGTATCTGAAATGCTACTGAATGATTGTGCGAAGAACACCCGATTGGAATTTTATCGAATAAAACATCAAAACTATGAAAAATCTGCAAGAGCAACAGCAGCCAGCAGAGCCTACTATTCCCGCTCCCGTTTGTGCTGCTCCTATGGACACTAGCAAATACGAATACGAACAAGTCGCAGCGATGGCTACGCTTGCCGTTGGTACAAGCGCTGCTGTTCCAATGACCATTTGTAGAAGTAGCATTATCGCGCCAAGTGTAGCAAGCAACCCATTAGTTGATTCTAATGAGCCATCATCGGCGTCCAAGAAAGCGATCGATGCAAATGCAAAAGAATCTCGTCAACCATTTCCTGTCAAAGTTTACGAAATGCTGCAAGACGCGGATCCAAAGAAATTTTCTCATCTTATTTCATGGAATCCGGCTGGCACCGGCTTTATGGTTCACGATAAGGATAAATTTACGGACGACATTGTTCCTCTCTATTTCAATCTCACGAAGTACAAGTCCTTCCAGCGACAGGTGAGAAGTTAGCGTCTGTTCCAAGTAAAATGACTATCCCCGTTTTCATTTCGTCGCTCACAACAAATGAATTCTGAATTTTTTGTAACTGATTTCCTACACCCTCGCGAATTCCACTCCAGTTGTCTCTTTATGGCTTTCAGCGAGTGACGGTTGGCCCAAACAAGGGGTTGCGGTTTCATGATAAGTTGAGACGAGGTCAAGCTGATCTTGTTCGTCAAATGAAGCCAGTTGGCTACAAACCACGAAACCTTGCACGGCTTGTAGAAAGGCAGAACCAAAGACAGAGAGAGCAGCAGCAGCAACAACAGCAGCAGCAGCAGATTCAGCACCAGGAATTCGGGAACGGAGGAACCAACATTACGACAACTACTACAACTACTATCAAGATGACGACCACCAGCACTACGTCCGTCGGTAACTCTCCTGCTCCCCCCGACATTTCTACTACTGACGGTTTTGGTACCAAACCGTCCCCGGATTTGTCTACAAGTATTCTACCGGTAGTCTCTACAGGCTCTCTGATGAAACAAGAAGACCAGGAAACTGGCTCTACCATTGTTGGGAGTTTACAGCATACAGACATTTTGGACCAAACCAATGATTGTGTTCATAATATCTCGCTGGAGGCAAAACCTCGCAGTGCCATACCGCCACCAGCAGACACCGGAGCAGCATCTTCTAATGCTACTGCTGACGGGTCTATTCTGTACGGCATGAAGTCACCACCGAACTATGGACAGCAAAATTCAACCATCGTTGGACGATCAAAAGAAGGACTAGAAAAGGTCTCATTTGAAGGGATGAGCTTTCACCCTATGGTTCCAACTCGAGAGCTTACAATTAATGTAAAGCTGAAACTACTCGAAGAGTTCAATCCCGCGTCGAGCCTCCTCCAATTAGCCTCCAAATATGTCACACCCGGTTATACGACCGAACCCATTGTAAGCACGACGCCCGCACCATCAAGAGTACCTTCCCTACCTACGATAGATGCAGTCGATCCGGATCGTCCATCATTGCTGGAACCCTTCACAGATCTCGTTAGTGCAACAGCTTCGGCTGCTGCTGCCTCAACTGCTTCTGCAATTGCTGCCTTGCACTCTGCCTCTGCCGACAGCGCCAAGTACAACGGATCTATTTCTCCTACAAGCATCGCCACCCATTCTTTTATGCCAACCACTATAACGCCAAATGTTGCACCATTGGAAAGTCGCTGCATGGACGCATTGGATTTTCACACCATAAATCTTACATCCGCGGCAGCGACACAAATGCCAGAATGACAAGCGACGATCAAGAGGGATGGTGCATGGACATCGCAACGGGTACATAAGTCTTATTCATGTTAAAATTATCAATGGGACGAATTGACGGTTGGTTTGGTGGAGAGCAGCCGGAGAACAAGCTAGAAAGTGCACCGGGTGCACCGACTAAGGGACTTTCATGTTAAATTGCAGAATTTTGTATTTTTTCTTCAGGTAGAACAATTTTTCTAAAGCGGAAATTAACCCAAAAAATGGCCATGGTCTTTCATCAATTGTCGAAAGTGTTTGTTCTAGCCACACTGAGTGATATTTCAATCTACTATGGAGTAGTACCTTTATTACCAACAAGAAAGCTTAAACCAAATGAAAGGAACTAACCTAGGTTGCAAAGGTAGTAGACGTTGCGCTTGCCTGTTGTCATGAAAATAAAGAATGTTGCATACAAGTTTGGTATTTTTGCGTGTCACAAAAGAAGGAATCTGCTCATCTCTTGTTTCTTCCATACTGAAATCTAATGGTTCATAGAGAGCTACCACATCTATTTTGGAGGTTTAGACTGCTGAGCTGGCTTGACTTTGTCTAACATTAACATCCCTTGGTATGTCCTGTTGGTCTACTAGAATGGTACAAGAATTTAGTCTAACTCTGATGACCAAATGTATTTACTATGGTGGTGATGGGTCCACAAATTGAACTCCTCCCAGTGGAACATACTACAGTAAGTTTTGTCGAGAGGAAGGTGGTTAAGTTCTAAAGCTTCTTGATGAACATAATATGACAGAGATGATGAGAAGAAGCCTGAACAGTAGAATGGGCCATTTTGACTAAATAGAGGGAAGGCCTAGCTGTCTGGAAAAAGAACATTATCTATGTTGTTGAAGTTATACGTACCAGCTTCAACAAAGATGGATTGGATCCAATAAAGATGCCTATATGTGGGCCCTGGATATAATTCTTTGTTACCTTTTGTGTGGTTATCCAGCTTTTGAATGCTGGGCTGGTGGAAGGCCTTGAGTGCCAAAATCAAATACCAGGGGAATAAGGACACTCAAGGCAACAGGTTGGACAAAAAAAACTTAATATTATATTTAACCTTGTGAACTAGAAGAGGCACTATGATGGCCAGAACCATAGCTTTTGTTAGAAAGAATGCTTCTAGCTGCTCTGAGGGGCAGCGCCTCCCTCTGAGGACCTCTGAGGAGGTTTTGTGGAGACGCTACCAAGTTTTATGCACACTGATAGGCCAACGAAGGCCCAGGCTGAACACAGAGGACATAAAAGCAGTTGGTTCACAGTTTGGATGGATGAGAACTATGTCATTATCATTTCAAGGTGCACTACCAAGCCTATAGGTTGGGGGACCTCAATCCCCAACCTGTAGGCAAGTTCCCATGCGCAGTGATCAACAAAACAGGTGTCAAGCACACTGGCAAGCCAATTAAGGCAAGTCACACCCCAGTGTGCAAGGACACATGTAGTCAAAAAGAAAAAATCAAAAAAAAGAAAAAGAAAAGCCAAAAAGAAAAAAGGAAACATCACACTTCTTTCACCAAATTACAGCTGAGCAGAAGACACTGGTAATAAATACACTAACCCTGCCACTGCTGGTCAGGAGGTCAAATGCTGGGGGTGTTGCTGTTTCTGTCTACCACATAAGACAGGAACAACAACAATAGTGCTGTTGCTTTCTGGCACAGAGGTCGGAAACAACAGCAATTGTGACCGGAAAGCACTGGGGCTTCGGGTCCTTGAGAACTGGGGATGGTGGATCCAGCTGAGGTAAAGCAGCTGGAGTAACTGGGGTTGGTGTTGTTGCGTTCTAGCACAAATGTCGGAACCAACAACAACCTGACCGGAAAACTCTTCCGGTCTGTAAAATACTGTAACTGCTTGGAGATGGAGATGCTGGGGAGTCTTCTTTAAAACTGAGTATGATGTAGCATGTACTCCAGGCGTTGTTCTTCAAAGTTCCTCAAAGGATTGGTCTTGGTTGAATACTGGGGGCTGGGGTTGGTGTTATTGCATTCCGGCAAGAATGTCGGAACCAACAACAACCTGACTGGAAGACTCTTCTGGTCTGTAGAATACTGGAACTGAATGGAGATGGAGATGCTGGGGAGTCTTCTTTAAAACTGAGTATGATGAAGCATATACTCCAGGCGTTGTTCTACACTAGGTCTTGGTTGAATACTGGGGCTGGGGTTGTTGGTGGTGCCATCCGGCACGGATGCTGGAAACAACTTCAACACCAGAAGATACCATGATACGGTGCTTTCAGAGGAACAGGTGATGGATCCAGCTGTGGCAAGCTGCTTCCACCATCTGGGGGATACTGATATACTTGTAATAGTCTTGGTTAGATTGCTTGGTTGCTTGAATGGAGCCAAGGAGGTGGATTTTCCCCTTCCAAAGGGGGTGTCACCATGGTTTGAAGCTTGAAGGAGCTTGTCAGGTAGGAATGTACGGAGGAATCAGTAGGAATTCTAGGTGATAATTTTCATAAGCGAAGTGTAATTTCTCAGGTTTGAAAAAATTCGATTTGAAAATTATAAGGCAACAGATTGGACATATCTGAGGAAGCAATGGAACTCTCTGTTGTTATTGGTCAAAAATAGAATCAAAAAGCTATAAGTGACTTGCAGATTACATGCTGTGGAACCTGATGACAGGTAGACACAAGGCATACATGGAAAAGTTTGATTCAGAGGAACACTTTGAATTTAACTGGAAGGAACACTCCTCTGTATACACAATAATGGCAGCAGTAAGAAGTTGTGACACACTCCTAAGACAAAGAGGGACCACATGGAGCAAGAATGGGAGACATTTATGGAGGCAAATTTCCAAGAAAAGGAAGGGACAAAAACTTTATGGTGCAGTTACTAATGGTGAAATAGATGTGGGTGACAGCAAGGACAAAGCAATCAAAAGATTGATACAGTCACTGCTGAGTATTAGTCATAATGAGTATCTGCTTTAAGTCTGTGAATCAACAAGAAATTACTAGCTTACATACACTTATTGTCCAGATTAATGTGTCCTCATTGCATCAAGAAATTGATTGTCTGAAAGCAATTCCAGGAAATTACAAGCATTGTAACAATCAAATCATTGAATGTCATTCACAGACTGGGGGGGGACTAACGTCTTGAAGAATTTGAAAAATTCATGTCATGATTGTACAAAATCAGGGAGTGACTTCACTTTTGCATCCTGTGAATTTTTAGAACACATGGCTTTTGAGTTTCATGAGAAAGATCAAATTCCAGTAGGTCATAAGAAGATCACTACACATATGGTATTTGATATATAGTTGGGCATGTGTACTCACATGAAAGGTCAGGCTCTGTGGTGATGGGCACAATGTACCAGCACTATCTCAGGAATATACCTACAGTAGTGTACCCAGCTGCGATTTGGTCAGAATATTCTTTTTGCTGGAAGCTTTGAATGATTTGGATGTTCTTTCAGCAGACATTCAGAATGCATATCTTACTGCACCAATCAAAGAAAAATACTATATGATTACAACATCCAAATGTGGCTTCTCCAAAGAGTATGTTAACAGGCCATGTAAAATTATCAGGGCCCTCTACAGTTTACCAAGTGCTGGCACATCTTTCAGATCATATCTCACAAGTCACATGAGGGAACTTGGTTATATCTCTTGCCAGATGGGACTTCATATTGGGTGTACCTTATTGCATATGTTGATGACATTCTCTGCTGTGGTTTAAAACCACAATTGATGTTGGAATCAATTAAAAAATGGTTTACTTTAAAAGACAGAACCATTGAAGAACCTACATTGTATCTCAGTGCTGACATCAGCCGTCACCAAATTCCTGGTCTCAACATTAAGTGATGGGCAATGTCCACTAAGAAATATACTGAGAAGGCAATCCAAGCTGTGGAAAGGGAATTGGGAAAAGAGAAATACGACTACAAATATCTCCCCAAGAAGAAAATCAGTACCCCTTTATCTCCAGATTACAGACCTGAGATTGATCCTACAAATGAGTTGGATAAGCAGACTCAGAACTACTACCAAGGTTTGATTGGTGTCCTGCAATGGTTATGCAAACCTGGGCGCATTGATATCATACACCCTGTATCACTACTACTATCACAGTATTTAGCTCAGGCATGGACTGGTTGTCTCAATCAAGCCTTCAGAATATTTGCCTACCTGAAGCAACACAAAAAATCTAAGTTGGTTTCCAATGACACTCATCCTGAAATCAATGACAAACACTTCTCCAACTGCAATTGGTCCAAGTTCTAGTATCCTGAAGCTAAAGAACTGTTACCTTCTGATATGCCAGAAGCATTGGGGAAGCCAGTTGTGATGACCTGTTTTGTCGATGCTGATCATGCAGGCTGCACAGCTACAAGACGTTCACATACAGGAATTCGAATATACCTCAATCAACCTCCCATCCTACAGTATTCTAAGAGCCAATGAACAGTTGAAACATCTACATTTGGTTCTGAGATTGTTGATATGAGAATTACCATTGAGATGGTTGAAGGTTTTAGGTATAAATTATGAATAATGGGAGTGCCCATTGGGGGTGCATCCAATGTATTCTGTGACAATGACAGTGTTGCTAAGAATGTTACCAGACCAGAAAGTCCATGCAAAAAGAAGCAAAACAGTATTGCATATCACAAAGCTAGGGAAAGTGTTGTTGCTGGTGCTGTTAGGACTGCCAAGGTTCCACGAGTTGGTCATATCACCAATTGACTTACTTGATTCAATCAGCGAAATCATACATAGATGATTTGTATCATATGTACGATTGGTCTTATAGGTACAATTGATCTTATACCTACAATTGATCTTGTACATACATACAATTGATTTAAGTTTGATTGGTTTGTTTATTTGACTAAACCAAACAGATCATAAAGGGACTGTAAAAAAAAGCTTGTATGGTACAATTGAATCATACAACTCATACAAGTATGACAGAAAGAAGTGGATGAATATAACTTACATGCACCAACAGACAAATTCAATACAACTGCAGAAATCAACTATGCCACATTGCATGTCATCACTACATTACAAACAGGTCTCCACATCCCATCCCACATTGTTTCTGATGAAATGATAAGGCTTGCAATAAATGCTCTTACATCACAAATGACAACAAAAGAAATGGACACTTCACTTGTCAGAAGTTGAAGAACCTTGACAATTGAGAGGAATGGTTAGACACTGAACGAAAACAACTTGATCAATTCCATGACCTTTTGACCTCATTGGCAATACCAAGTTTGCATAACTGGTGAACATCAATCTTGTAACTTTTGCAATGGATCAAAACACTCTGCTCCATTGCTCCATG